CCAAAGGAGGGCTATGGAAATGGTGAAGGGTCTGGAGGGGAAGAGATATGAGGAGCGGCTGAGGTCCCTGGGTTTGTTCAGCCCACAGCAGAGCAGCCTGAGGGGAGGTCTCCTGGTGGCCTGCAGCTCCCTCACAGGGGAGTGGAGGGGCAGGCGCTGAGCTCTGCTCCCTGGGGACAGCAACAGGACCCGAGGGAACGGCATGGAGCTGGGACAGGGGGGACTCCGACTGGGTGTTAGGGAAAGGGTCTGCACCCAGAGGGTGGTTGGGTGCTGGGACAGGCTCCCCAGGGCAGTGGTCATGGCACCAAGCCTGTGGACAATGCTCTCAGACACATGGTCTGCTTTTTGGGTGGTCCTTTGTGAAACCAAGGGTTGGACTTGATGATCCTTGTGGGTCCCTTCCAACCTGGGGTATTCTGTGATGCTATGATTCTATGAAAAGCTTTTGAATGAGACTGTGAGTATATTTGGTTAATGCTTTATAAGGCTGTGATACATAATCTCTTTAATAGTTGGTTTCAGTAAATACCAAGTAGAATATACATTGAAAGTTAGATTTGCTCTTGCAGACCAGTCAAAGACTAGTATACTAGAAAAAATTAAATCTACAATCCATTCCCTGGAAACTTTTCTGAAGAAAAAAAAATATACACAGAAGATCAGCAACATACTGAGGCCAGCAAAAAAATTGAATACATCCCTATAATTTTGAAGCCAAGTTTACTGACTATAAATCTACTGTGAAAAGCCTGGAAAACTATACAGCAGACTTTCAGCCTTGACAGCACGTTTCCCCCTTTCTGATGTTTCAGCATCAGCAAGCACAGGGCACTGCTCAAATGCTCTGAGTGACAGATCATGCCTCTCCCCTATAATTTGTAAATACTGCATGTGTTTCACTCAGACTTCTCCCCATTAGTGTAGCCATATCTATCCCATGCTTAATTGCATTTTTTAATTGTGAAATAAACTCTTGAGCTCTGTATTCTCCATTTCTATTCACTTGTAAAACAATCAGAAATAGAAATCATGACAACTGAGGCCAAAACTATCCCAGGTTTTGCTGGATAACCAGGCAGGCTCTTGCCCTGTCGTACCGTCAGATGTAAAGCTGGTAGGTGAACTTCCAGTGAATTCAGCAGCCTCCCCCCTCCCAGATTTTCAGAATCAGACTGAGCCATGCATACAGGCTGAGAGGAGGCAATGCACTGTGCTCCCTCCAACCCCATCACCTGGGGCAATCACAAAAGTAAGCATCAGCTGTCAGGAAGGCTGAAAGTTCTTCTTTTCCACTTAGTTCAGTTTTATTTATTTCCTAAATTTCATAGCCCGCTCTGTTTTAATGCATTCCACAATGACTTAATCAGAGCTCTTTACGCAGTCCCTAAAAGGGCCAGCCATGAAGCTGTCTTTTCATCCCACTCAAATACGTTTCTCTCAGACCTGCCAAACCTCAAAAGGCATTGCCTGCTTTACCCTCTGACACACCAAAGCCCATTTCTCTTGCATACATTAGCTCAGCACCACCTTCCTCACTTCCTCTGCCAAATTCTTGATATTTTGCCCTGATTTCTTCAAAATCCGGTGTTTCATTTAGGATAATTCATTTGCTATAGATTGCATTGATACAGGTGATAGAATAATAGTTTTCTGTTTAGATCGTTTCTCTGTGAAATCTGCATTGAATGGCCAAATTTCTACACATCTTTCAGTCATTCCCATTTTTCCATACTAACAGAGGGAAGAACTGTGGAAAGTAAAAGGAATGGAGAAGTGCCTAAAAAACAGGTATCTTCTAGTGATGGCATTACTTGTTCCCCAAATTTTCTACTTTTTACACACTTTTTTTTTTTTTTTGCAAGTCAAATAGTAGAAAAGATCATACATGAAGAACCTTCAGCTGTTTTAAAATTAATTTGTAAATATTTCAGTTTTACAGTCAGGCTGTACTCACACAAAGTTCCCCTGAAGATGGTGCTGAAATTGTATTACACTCAGCCATAATCTCCTGACTCTTCGCCACCATTTATAAGGCTCATAGATTTTCATGGGCTGATGAACTCACCCAGGAAAAGATGTACTTTAAGGATGAAGAATAAATACTAAATCTGACAGTTTGGAAAAAAAAAAAAAGAAAAAAAAAAAAGAAAAAAAAAAAAAACAATTTTGACAGAACGAATACCATGGTCATTTTATGAAATCTAAACCACATACCGATTTTACTGCTAGGTTCTTCTCATAGCAACTTTATCTTAAATTGCCATTAGCAAATCCAGACAGTAAATTCATTTTAATGATTAAGCCATTATTTCTAATGCTTTGATTAGGTTTCAAGAAATAAAAATGCACTTTTCCTTCCACACCATCATGAATAAACTCTACTAGATGGTTTGACTAGAACTAGTCTAAAACATCCAAATAAACTATTTTAAAGTTGTTTTCAAAATTCCTTTAGAACAACCTACTTCAATTTACAAAAGAGAAAGATGAAGATAGCCTTTTCATTTAGGATAGCAGAATCCAGATGCAAGGAGTCTCACTACCCTAAGCACAAGCTCAGCCATATCAGTTTTATTAAAGAGCACAAGGGATGATGTTATCATTGGAAAAATGATAACGTCCCTTCAGAAGACATAGCCACAGGGAAAAAACTAGCAAGCAAACAAACAAAAAAAAAACACTCCATAACAAGGTCTGTTTCTCTTGATCAGTGCAGTCAGAAAATTCTGAGTTTCCATAACATAAATTTATTTATCTCCCCCCCCCCCCCCCCCCCCCCCTTTCTTTTGAGAGCAAGATAGCGCTCTTGTTTTGGTTAACACTCCTGCCAACTGATTACATTTTCTCTGCTAATTCAACAATACCCAGTAGGTGGCCTCAGTGTATAATGCATTTCTTTACTCTCTTCTACTAATTCTGCTTTACTTTTTCCAATACAATTTTATTTTAGTTGGAATCTCCTACTTTTGATCATTTACTTTCGATATTTCAGCATCAGCTATTTGTTAAGGACCTATCCCTTTAAGTATTATTCTTCTACTGTTGGTGAAAAACAGTTATTTCAATTGCTACAGTGCAACTAACAATTTGGGAAAAGAACAAACAAAATCCATATAGTCCTGCTCTGGTTAGAGATATCAACCATATACATCTTGATTCCCCCTCTACCTCTCATTTTACTTTCTTCAGGGCTTAGAGGATTATTTTCTTTAAAGAACATGACATATTATCCACATCCAGACAGACATGCTCATATGGGCTGACAAACTTCACCAGTCCCTGGAATCTTCAGCTCTAAATCTTTCAATGGGTTTTGCTAACTCTCGTGGTTCTCCCACATCTCTATCTTCAGAATTCAATTAATCTTTGGGATACAATCAGCCCCCGCTTATGAACGAGGGTGTTACCTACATTTATCATCCCATGGAAATGCCCTTTTCAATACAACAAAGTTATTTTGATATGAAAAATGTGAAATGCATTCTTAGCTGACTGAAGATCTTAATTGCCCTATTTCTTGTTCTTGTGGCAAACACATTTCTATTTAATTTCTAAGAAAGCAAGAGTACCTACAGCAGTGATCACTGACAAAGCATATTTGCAACTTTTTATATTTTCAATTCTGACCAATTTAAATGCAAGTATTCAAGCAATTCAAGCCCTGTAGTATACCCATCATAACACAATAAGAAATTGCAAGCTACACCAATTAGTGAAGCCATTTCTACAATATTTTATGTTGATGAGACCCCATATTCACCCTACCTTGTCATTCATCATACAAGAAATCCTCTAACACAAGATCAACTGACATTTTCACTGTGACCTTTTACACTGAAAGAAGTGCCAGTATATTTTTTGAAGCATATGTACTAATGAAGTGTATTTGTCTACCGTGGATGTCCCCAAACTTCATGACCCCATTTTTTGACGATAATTGATGTGTAAACTCAGTCTTTGGCTATTGGCAGTAGGCTAATAAGACAGTCTTATAGTTTCCGTACCATAATGAGGCCTGAAACCAATTTGGCTGGGATCAAGGAAATATGAAGCCTCCAAATATTTCTGGAATTGCCTCACTATAAACTTTTTCAAAAAGGCAGATTGAAATGTCTTATAATAGATGTGACTGTCTGCATCAAGAAGAAGATATTTTTAGGTTTGTATTAACAAGGGCTTCCTAAGGAGAAGCTGGTGTCTGGTCCTATCGTATCCTTATAACATTCTCAGCTAAGTTTGGGATCTTCATTGCCCAACAATGTGGCCTCAGTACTGTCTTCACTTAAGGCATCGTTTACACGGGGACACTAAGGAAAATGTCTAGTCAAGACAAATTAACCAGTCAATGTACATAAGTGAGGCTTTATTACATCCAGAAGAAAGGCAGTTTTATTGCACAGTAGGCCAAGACACAGTGACCTAAGTTACAATGACTGACAGTGTCCACACAGAGGTTTAATGCAACTTAGTACATGTGCGTTAGTTTATTTCATTTTAACATTCCTAAGCATCCAACTGTAGACAAGTCCTAAGAAAACAACATCAGATGAAGTGAAAACTTGGGTTTGCATTTGTTCCCTTCATAGCCTGCTCTGCTACCATGGAGACAAACAGCTCTGACAGAATCGAGTAATCTCATCTTCAAAGAAACAAAAACATTCTTGGTGAAAGTGCCTGCAAAGCTATTATTGGCCCTAGATGTGATCTTGCGCCTTTCATTGAAATCCCGCTGTATCGTAAAGGAAAACAAAACTTTTCTCTGTCACCCCTGTTTTCTTCTCATCTCTTTCCCTGAATGGTAATCAGAGCTCTAAAAGTGTAAGTTGCTCCTGGGCAACAGAACTAATAGGTCCTGCACAATGCCCTGCATCTCCCCAGCAGCATCACCACTGCACCCTCTATTCTCTCTCCCACCTCCTTTTTGCTCCATAGCGCAGATGTCCCAACTCCTCCCCACCAACAGGACCCTGCAATACCTTCAGCCCACCGTTGTATACCTAGTTCAGGATGCTTAGTTCCCATTCAGTGCCCAAGGCTGTCTCCCCTCCATGCCTCCTGCCTGTTTGGCTGGGGACTGGCAGCGCCCTCTCCGGAGAGCACTGGAGGACTGGCCAAGCTTCAGCTGCCTCTCGGAGCAGATAGTGACTCAATTCTTCCTGTGTTTCCCTCAGCTCAACTCTCGTCTCTCTACAAGCGTCTACAAAAATATGGAAATGTAACCTCTGTGTCCTTCTGCCAAATATTCCTGAGATCACCCAACGGATTACGGGCAGGGCAGCCAAAAAGACAGCCTGGTTTGTAATGGTTCAGCGTGATCAGAAACCAGGCCTGTGAGATGAGAGCTCTGGGGATCTAACCCAAACTGAGAAGCGGCTTTCCCTGTGCTCCCCACAAAGCGACTTCATCTCACTCCTGGTTTCTCTGTCTGTGTAACAGAAAAGTGAAATAATTTATCTAAACTAGTGCTCAGAAAGGTGTCTGGAGTTTACAGGACACAACACTGGTTGTGTATTGGAAGACTAATGTTCTTTAGCACTGAAGAGAGATCAGAGTAGGTCTTCTAACTCAAGGATATATGGAAATGAAGAAATTCAAACTACATTCAAGTGCATCGGGACATTTGTATTTTGGGGGTATATTCAGAATACTGAACATAGTTTAGAAGGAACTCAAACTATTTTTAAAGAGAAAAGAAGTGACACATGGAAGTTATTTGCATGTTAGCTGGAGAGACATTGAAGGAAATGCAAATTTAACCCTCAGACTGGGAAGGACAGAACTACAACACATTCCACTTCCATGAGATTTAAAAAGTCTCCTCCTCACCACAGATGAGTAGACAGAGCGCTCACAAGCCATTGCAGATCTTGGCTCTGTTCCTTCCAGAAGCTGCTGCCAGAAAATCTTGACCTCTTACTTTCTTACTTTCCTGGAGCACTTTACAACCACATGGTTATAAATAATTTGGGTGACTATAGCGATCACGATCTCTTTGCTAGCACACCTCTGCCATCCATAAATTACTTAAGCCATTGGCCTGAGCTCATCTTCCACCCAATGCAAGGATCTAAATGGATTGAGGAAGTGATTTAAGTACTGCAATGCATTCTCTGTTTCTTCAATCAGATCTTGGTACAAATGCAATAGGCTTAACACAAGAAGAGCCTCATCTTTACTATTCAAAGACAAACAAACAAGCTAATTATCCCTTCATAAAAAGAAGTGTGCCTGGGAAATGCCTGAGGGCAGCTGCACCCAACTACAGCACATCGGGTACCTCAGGTAGCCTGTAATGGCTGAACTCAAAACCAAACTGATATCTGTGGCATGTGTCCAGCAACAGAAAAGGTAAGGTGGAAAACACCAGCTTTTTACACACTTACAGCTTCACTGTCTGTTCAGTGGGAAGCAAAGTCCAATGGGAATAGCTCAATGGGAATTAAAGAGGGTGAGCCGGGAATACTGCCAGTGGTCAACAAGTCTCAGGGAAAGGTGAGAAGGCAAGTGAAAAGGAGAGGGATGTCCTCAATATGCTGTCAGGATTTGGCAGAGGTAGACCAAATTTTTAATTTCTCTCACTGGCTGTAAAATATTCTAGCTATTTCAAAGCATGACCATTGGCCTCATTCCACTATAGCCAAGTGTAAAGGGATCAGACCAGGATCACACACTACCACGCGCTGTGTTCAGTGTCGTTCACACTTCTGCAGTCAGGCAATAGTAACTGCAGAAGAGAGAGCAAACTCCCAAATCACCTTAGCTCTTCTCTCTCTGAGCGACTGTATTTTAATACACATAAATATATTTTGCCTTTAAAGATTATGCATCCTGTTCTAAAATTAAGGCTCTTACTCTGATTCCATCTTGTTGCTACATCTAAACACGTATTTAAGTGAGACATATTAAATCAAAGTGTCCCCCACATCTATGTACTCAAAACATTTAGTCTGGTATCCAGAATTAACCCTGCTTCTGCTAAATTTTGCAACCATTTATTTTATTCTGAGCCACATGACTCTTATACAAAGCTATACTTTCACAGGCCCGCCATGAACCCCCACAACCCACTCTGTGCTGTACATCAGCAGCTCCTACAAAACTGCAGGAGTCCACACTGACATCCTGTATACAACTTGGCTGTGGCCATCCTGGATTCCTTAGGGAATCTCTCTTCTTTTGATCATACATGGGGTAAATAATCTCATGCCAATCTCATGAATGTTATTGATGATATCTCAATAACAGCTCTCTCAGGCTGTTCCAGCTAATCCCCTGACCCCTCAATTCAGCATTACCTAAGACTAGGGAGACAGCTGGATACCAGCAGATAATTCCAAGTGATTATTGCCAGTTTCAGGAAGCAGAGCTAAGGTTGCATTAGAAAGTATCTTAATTCCTTACTCTCCAGTTTTCAGAGATCAGAGTGTTACTGAATTGCATGTCCTGAAATAGCATGAGACATTACAAAGCAATTTTAACAATGTGTTAACACATTTTTCTGCAGTGAAACTGGCAGGATTATTGAACTAATGATAAGCTTTTTAAATCACAAGCTCACCCACTTCCTCCTCACCCTTCTGCATGCAAGCCTCTCTTCCTTTGTGTGGCCATTACATTCAGAAATAAAATGACATGGTTTATCTCTCATAAGTCTTTAATGCACTGTTGGCCCAGTTTTTCTGGTTTAAGAGCTTATGTATGGTACACTTGTTGGCTATTTACGTAGTCATAAGCCTAACAACTTTGTATTTTATCTATGTGAACTATTCCACAGAGTGTAAAATATTAACATTTTTCCCTAAAGAGCAGTATGAACGTATTAGAACTGACATGGAATATTGGAAGATAACCTCCTGCAAAGACTGCAGCCACCTTCAGTTTCTACCTGCAACTATTCTAAATGTTGTGAATCGGACAATGTGAAACCTGAACAGACACACACAAATGGGAGAAGATTTAATGAATACCTTTACTATTCAGTTTATGAAGCTGTAATGTGCTTGTGCTCAGGACTTGTAAAAGGGTATCAAATCTTCACAAAGAACACCTGGTACTGTGTCTTTCTGTATAACATGGTGTCTGCTCCACTTTGCACATATTTACAACGCTTGTTTTATACCCTGGTTGCTACAAGCCCTAAACAAATGAAGGAATTCATCATTATGTCTATGCAGGAGGTGGCAGAGCACACAAGATGAAGTTCATGGGATACACTGAAACAGGAGAAATAAAATTGAAGTAGAAATTTGGCAGAGGGACTTTCTACAAAGGGGAAACAGTGATAAAATTCTGAGAACATATAGACAAGTAATGGCTCAATTGGAAAGACTAATTAGCAGGCTGGGCACTAGATCTGAAAACTAGATAACACTCATTCAGCTGTTCAGGACAGACAACTGCTCAACTGCTGGCTCAACTGTTCAAGGAGCTCTGTGCCCTTCAACATGGAGGATTTTCACTTATGTTTTCACAGTCGTTTTCACTATACTATTTAAATTAGGGAGGAAATTCCTCCATGCTAGTATAAATAAATCTTTAAAATTAGATTGTTCTGTGAATCATATTAACCTATGAAATCTGAAACCCGTGTACTGCATTGACCTTCATACAGTCAATTGTCCCCAGGTTTAGACCTCTTATTGACAGTTCATGTAACAAGAGAATAAGTCTAAATATATAGGGATGAGATGAAAACTAGACTTTTCAACATAATTCTTCATTCCCTGGCTTTCATTACTTAATGAAGTGTTGTTGATTTGCATTGTGTGATTCATTTGTGGCTTTCTGTGTCTCCATCTAGTTAAAAGATGCTGTTAAAAGACAGGCATACATGATTTCCAGCAACACCTAATGACTACATCCCCTTCAAACAGCCACTATTTCTGAGTCACAGCACTCAGAAAGCTTTAAAATTTTTTTTCCACTATAGGGCCATTAGGAAATAGTGTTCAGTATTATAAGCTTCACTAGGGAATGCTTCAGAGGAACAGTTAAAAAGACAAGAGCTAGTTTCAAAGTGTTTACAGTCCAATTTTCCACACAGCAGAGCAAATTTGCCAAATGTGAAGGAGGTTTACAGGGAAGCACATGAAACAAAACCTAATGGATTTCCTTTCCTATCACATATGAACACCATACTACCAGGATAAATATTTGGTAGATGAAGAAACCCGGGTTTGTTTCTCTAAAAATACAAAGCAAGCAAGCCTCGGAGTGAATTGTTCTGCAGCACTTTGCCTCCTACCTAAATTTTATTCACATTTCGTTACACCCAAAAACAATGCTATGGAAGTGTAATACACCAGAAACAGAAATAATGAAGAGTTGGACAAGAATCATTAGCAAATTGTGGAGGCAGACCTCAATATTTGAATATTTAGCAAGATGTGGGAAGAGTAATATGAGCCATTAACTGTAGAAGTTTGGAAAGAACTCAGCCTGTGAGCAAGGTACTCCTGTAATTTCTTGTTAGAGGAGCTCTGCACTTTACAGTAAACTTTCAGCAATTATAGTGGGTAACTAACTAAACGGTTGGCATCATTCAGGCCAGTACCCTTCCTAGTTCCCTTGAAAAGAAATCAAGGACTTAAGCCCCCTTAAAGAGTTGCTGCTGCCACTCTCCCCTCCTAGCTCCTGCTCAGGCCCATGCAGAAAAAGGCTCTCATGTGCTGCAGTCCTGACCTGCAGAAGTCAGGTTGGCAAAGCAGGTTCTGAATGTGTTTTATTCTTCCTGCTTTAACTACTGCCGTTTTCCCTTTCTTGCAGAGACTTCACTGAGGGGGCAGCAGGTGCATGCAGCGGAGGTTCCCCTGTCCCAGTTTTCCAGTTCCAACAGCGGAAATGAAGAAAGAAGCAGATTCTGCCGCTAACAATGGATTCTGGCACATTTTATATCCCTGACACTTAAGAGGTCCTCTGGCTTTGCTATATTGGGAACTGATCTGCCACCAGCCTCTCATAATGTCCTACTCATTTCCCTGTCCTGATATTAAAGTGTCTGGGCAACTTTCTCTATGAAAAGTTGATCCTTAGACTTCTGAAGTCAATGGGAAACATCTGAGATGCAGATAACCATTGCAGCAATGCAATCAGTAAGGAAAGGATTGATTTTGATATTTAAAGAGTTGAAATCAAAGAAAGTGAAGAGAAAATGGA